ATTAAAAAATAAATAGAAAAATATTTTCCCAAATTATCTGATGCAAAGTAAAGTAATTTAAAATTTAGAGACTGGGGTAAGGGCATTAGGTTGGTGTTAGAATACTTGTCTGGCATGCATAAGGCCCAATACCAAAGAGAAAAAAAATAGGGTGGGTGAGGTGGATGCTTAGAGGAAAACCACGTAGTGCTAGAATTAAACTGCTTTTGAAATTGATTTAGGAATAAATTTTATTTGTTTTCATTGTTGAGAGGAAGAAAGTTTGGGTCAGGTTGCACATCAGCCATGTCCTCTCCAAAGACAAGACAATGTGGTGAAGCATCCAGTAGCTTCTAAATGCCTGGGATGCCTATCATCTGACGCAGGATCTTGTCCCTGAGTCTGTGCTCATCTTGTCTTTCTGCCTGGAGTACTCATTTCTCTCTTGTCTTCCTATGCTTCAGTAAAAAGCTCTCTCCTTTGCTCATTCACGACCTCCATCCTTTTTCTGACATAAGTGTTGAAATCACTTCAGTACAGATATGCTGAAGCCCCAAGGGGCTGCAGTGAGAATCCACTAACACAGCCTGATCCCGCTATACCTAGGGGTGTGTGTGTAAAGAGCATCTCCCATGGTTTCAGGCTCAGGACTCTTGATAAGGCTGTTTTGACAAGTCATTTTGACACTACCCTTTTGAGAAACCACCACAGTACAGCTGTTTGGATTCCTAGACTGAAATAGTCATGTTGGCTCAGTGTTTTTCCCAGGCAAGGACATTTTGATGAGCTGTTTGGATAAAGCCTTATCCTGGAGAACTCTTTTGCAAGGTAGTGGGGAAGATAAATGAGTTTACCCCACCCTTGGGAAAACACATACCTGTTTACCTCCACTGATAGAACAGTGGTCTGAGTTGGAGATTTAGATAGAGAGGAGGCGAATGGGGTTAAAGTCTCTGGTAGAAACAGTCATCCCAATTTTATGCTTATCATATTTGTTCATTGCAGAAAAGGCCACTAGTTATTCCAAATAATATGTCTTCACATCTCTGAGAATTAACTTCCACCTAGAATGAGCAGAATAAAATTCTTCTATGCATCCCTTAAAGTTAAAACTAGAAAACAGAACTCAGGCTCCATATATGTGATGGTCCCTTGTTTTCAGTTTGAGTGATACAACTGTGGTGGTAACATGGATTATGAACTGATAAAGTTTGTCTATCTATTCCTCTCACATAGGTTTAGCAGGTAGCAATAACATTGCTTATGATCTGATAAAGTTTGTCTATCTATTCCTCTCACATAGGTTTAGCAGGTAGCATTCACATATGGTAGATGGGGTTGCAGATGTGACATTTGGGTCTACCTGACTTTAATTAAATTATTCATCTGTTTAAAGTTTCATAAGTTTTCTCATCTGTATGAGTTGGGATGCAATGTGGAGAATGAACTATGAATTAAGGACTTACAAAGACCCTCCATCTGTATCTGGACACGGGAAGTTCTTTGAGGAATGCAATTACTTAAAAAGGTAAAATGTGTCTGGTGTAGTGGCATAAGTCTGTAATCCTAGAATTTGTGAGCCAGAGGCAAGAAGATCTCTGTGAGTTTGAAGCCAAAACAATCCCCATAAGACTATATAGTGAGACTTTGTCTCAAAAATAAACAACAAAAACTAACCAAGCTCATGCTTGGGGCAGGTTGAAGTGGCCTCCTTTCTCAGCCAGTCTGTCTGTTGTGTTCTGGAGTGTAACTCTGTACTTTCAGGCTATATGTATAGAGACTTGCATAACCAGGCATCAGGCAGTATCCAGGTATTGTGCTCACTCCCCTTTGCTCAGCCAGAACCACCTGACTGCTAATGCTATTTGGTTTCTCTTCCTGTCCTTCTAATTGCCGAAGACGCAGGTTTCTCTCTCTACTGTGTTCCCAGATAGTGATGGGCATAGAGAAGGTGTGATAGACAGATGTAAGTGTAAACGGATGGAAGACGGAGGTGTCTGTAGTGAAGCCACGAGGACTGATTCAAAATCGTTCCACTCAGGCTGCTTGGTTACTGGATTATATGTAAATGAATTTCCTTTTATAAAGAAGGCACTGAATCTAGAGTAAAATTAAAATAGATCATACAAGAGACTCTTTTAAACAGGGAGCTGGAGGACTGTAAGGAAGATAAAATACAAGAATGCATGCATTTTCCAAAGACAGACTCAAAAGCAAGTGAGTAATTTTTCTTCTGTCATGTTCTGTTTCAGTCCCCAGTTTAGAAGATATGATGACTTAAGGTCTTAGAATGAAACGGTGCATCATTAAAGCCTTATTAGCATGAAAACACTTTCTTCTAATTGAGTTCAATACCATCCAATAGAAGAATACCTTAATCTCCACCATACACGGAAACGCTTTCCCATTATAGGCTTCTCTAAAAGGAGCAGAGCACGTGGGCCGTATTTCACTAGTGGAAAAGAAGGTTAACATTATGATTAATTTACCATGACTCATGATAAAAAGAGTCTTAGGAAGATGAAAATAGCACAGCAGTAACCCCTATTCTTTTCATTATTAGCACCGAATCCTTCCGCGAAACGCAAAGAGCATCAAGAACACAGAGGAGTAACAAATCAGACGCATTTGAGTTCCAGCGGTCAGCTCTGTCATATTTCTGGGAGCTCTGCAATTCGTCCAGCAAACTTTCAGGAAACCCCTGGATCCTATCAAGCACCGAGGGAAGTCCTGGAAATGCAGAAAGGGGCAGAACACGTGGGTGCTGCGTTCAAGCGAAGCGCAATCTGGTCATTTTGGCGCATTTTTGCTTCCGTAAGGAGCCTAAAGGGAAACACCTGTACGCATGGAGGCACCGGCTCTGTTCAGTCATTGAAATTTGTTAGCTGCTGATGTAGTGAGAAGGAATGTAGCGAGAAAATGTGCAGAAATAATTTATGGCTTTTTCCCCTCTGGGAAGCTTTTATCTTGTAATCTTCTTTGGAAGGGACAAACATTACCCACAGAGGTGCAGCAACGCTAACAGTAATGATAGAATCTACTCAGTAGTTAGGAAGAGTGAAGAAAGTTGCGTTAACTTTCTTCTCAAAGCTATTTTAAGTCTCAATTTTCAGATGATCAAGGTCAGAAGAGGAAAATACATGTTTATATAAAGATCATCTATATCGAGGGGCCAGATCATAATTTTTAACCCATTCGCCAATAAATGGGAAGGAGGTGTTTTTTTTTGTTGTTGTTGTTGTTTTTTGCTATTGTTTTTTGTTTGTTTTTTGAGAATGGCTGATTACAGGGCTAGAGCAGCAGGAAGCAAATGAATACTCTAGAAACAGAGTGATGGAAACATGTCAAAGAGATTCAGAAGGCACCCTGAGGGAGTCCTCAGTGCCAGAGCTGAACAGTTGAGAATCAAAATAAAGAAATATTATATTGGGTTATCCAGAATGTAAAATAAACATCCATTATCATCCTGATATAGATAGCTAAATAAATAAGTGAATGAAAGGGAGAGACGTGTGCTGGCTCCTTTAGAAGCACTCTGTGTGGATGCACAGTCCTTCCTCAGGGATGACCGACTGTCTTCCTACTCTTCAGTGTGGGAGGAAAACACATGTTTTGGGTGGGGAAGCCTAGAAGATGCACCTTGCTTAGATGGCCAGGGTGACCCACTGGGGTAAGGCTTGCAGATTTTAGAAATACCTGATGTCATGTGAAAAGACTGACTCTTGGTCACTGAGGTCTGCCTCCCAAAGGAAAACATCAGACAAAACAAATGGAGCAAATGGAGCTGCCATCAGCTAAATTGTCTCACCAGTGCTCTTCAAAAGTGTCAAAGTCCTTAGCCATGAGGAAACCCTGAGAAATAGTCACAGCCAGGAGAGTGAGACACCTGACTGATATGTTATCTTGAGAGGGATCAAGGAAAAACAAGGAATAAGAGACACACTTCAATGAATAACAAGAGGCCAGTATTTGCTTTTTAGTCATGACAAGCAGACTTCAGGAATCTTAGATGTTAACATAGGAATTTGGGTATAGGGTATTTCTTATTTGAATTTGTTTTTGTGAATAAAATAACTACTTAAATTAAGAATTTAATTAAAGAAAGGATAAAGTATCTAAAATCAGTAAGAGCTGACACAATTACTTTTTAAATTAAAAAAATAGCTTTATTTACTTTATGTGTGTGAATGTTTTGCCTGCATGTGCGTATGCATATTTTGTGCATGCCTGGTGCCACAAGGGTTAGAAGAAGACATCTGATCCCCTAAAACAAGTTATAGATGGTTGTGAGTTATCATGTGGGTGCTGGGAATTGAACCCAGGTCCTTTGCAAGATCAGCCAGTGCTCTTAACACTGGGCCGTCTCTCAAGTCCCACAATTGTATTCAATGCACAGTAAGAGGAACATTAATTCTAGAATAATAAAATTGGGCTATGATTTGATTCTATTCACTGTCTCTTTGCTGGATTGGATGGTGGGCTTTTGAGTTCATGTTCGTTCCTGTATAGTCTGAAGAATAGGAAATGAGACTGTACCAGCAATGGTTGCTATCTATTGCTCTTCCTGTTTTGTTGAGAACCTTTTAGCCAGGTCTGCTCTCACTACCCCCTTTCTGAGCCCCAATGGAAAGGACTTGAGTCATTTGGAACTTTTTAACCATATGTCTTATAGTTCTGCTGTATCCTTTTGTTTAAAATAGATATTTATGAAGCAATTCTCATTCTAGTTTTTTTTTTTTTTCTATGTGATTGATTATTACTGTATGATAACCCAACAATGTTAGATTTTAAATTTTCTCTGGCAGTGGAATGATTACTCAAACTTCATGCAAACTTGAAATAATGAAAAGTCAGTAGAGCGGTGAAGTCTCACTTTATGTACTAACTTTGAAATAATGTCAACTCCTCAAATGGAATGTCTTAAAGGCTGATGGAACAACTACCTTTGAAACTGTTCCTACTACTACCACATGGTGGCGCCATGTCAGCTGGTGAATGTTAAACTTTGGCAGACTGGATTAGTCTTGAATTGACTAAGAACTGTTTGATCTTTGCAGGAATGCAGGCTGTGTGTGCTCTAGCCTCCATTTCACAGAAGAGATAACCAGAGGCCAGGCAAGTAAATTACTCCTCAAAGTCCACCCAGAGATCTGCCCCCGAACCAGGAGTTTTACGTACTTCCTGTCACTTGGTTCTGTGTGAGCATCTCTTCTCCCCTTCCTGCCACCTCCCCACGTGTAGACGTGGGTGTGTTTGCACAAGTGTCTGGGTATGCATGTGGAGGCCAGAGGTCAACACTGGGATTCTTCCTTTATCATCCGCCTCCCCATTCATTTTTTGAAATAGGTTCTCTCACTGAACATGGAGTTTGCTGACTCATCCAGACTTCCTGGCCAGCAAGCCTCAGGGATCCCTCTCCCTTGAGCTGGGATTGCAGGTGTGCACAAATGTGACCAACCTTTTTATTTTTTTAAAGCATGGGTGCTGGGGATCTGAACTTCTGCTGTCCTTCTTGGGAAGCAAGCATTGTAGTAACGGAACCCCTTCCTAACAGCTGTGCCTTTTCTCTTAGTCACCACCACCATCTATGGTATAAAGGTAAATATGTAACAACAAAGCCAAATTTCCACCAAGAAAGGGTTTCTTTTTCTTTTCTTTTCTTTCTTCTTTTTTTTTTTTTGCATGGATCTCATAACATTACTTTAATGTTCTTTAATTTTTTTTATTTCATATAATTATCTTTTGCTCTTTCTCCTAAGGCTTCTGTGCCATGGCTTCTACTTAGCAAAATGCTTCTGGTGCAAAGAAATTTTAATTATCACTGAAAGAATGAACTAGCACTATATATGACTTGGAAGTACTTTCATAGATTTTGTTAAATGAAAATAATTCTATTAGAGAATGAACTAGCACTATATATTTAGACTTGGAAGTACTTTCATAGATTTTGTTAAATGAAAATAATTCTATTAGCATTATCTTGGGTTCACAAGTTAAATGATGGCAATACATCCTGTATAGCATGTTTATAAATGTGCATGTCTGAATGGAAATATTTGAGTACAGTGGAAGCATGGACTGTCACATGGAGTCTTTAACATGGGATACTTTTGCAGAGAAGCAGAAGGGAGGTCACATGAGGAGAAATAAAAGAGAATGAATAAAGAGCCAGCAGCAACAGAACAGTTATACACCCACAATCCCTATGTGTGGTCCCATTTAAAACAATGTTTATGTAAATATACATAGAAATATAGAAATTGATCTAAATTCTTATTGCTATAGTTACTATAAATAAGGACAAAGAAACATGAAAATCTGGAGTAGCTGTGGTAAAAATAACATGTAAGTTATCAAGTTGTTAATTCCCCCTTCAAATAAAAAAAGCTAAAATCAGAAACAGGCAATTTACATAAAAGAAAAATACAAGTTATATTTTCCATTCCTTCTGAAACTGGAGATCAAATCCAGGGCCTTAAGATTACTAGGCAATCCCTCTGTCACCAAACTATACACAAAAACATGCTTATTCATATGTAAAAATGGAGAAATGCAGATTAAGACCACAATGAAATTCTACTTCAAATTTTTCCTATTGACAAACATTGAGGTATCCTAATGCCATGTTTTGCAAAGGATGTGAGTGAACTAAGAGTAATGCTTCCAGCTTGCTTATGAGACCTCAAACTGGGATGGTTCCTTTTGAATACATGCTGGCAGCATGGGTTGAAGTCAAAGAACCCAAATCTGGTCACTGCATCCACTTCTAGGTGGGTAATACACCCACTCGTGCTGCTGAGGCATTGGCAAGAGTGTTTGGAGTCACATTGTCTAAAAAAGCGTGAATGGATACTGGTGGTCGAATCCATACATGGTAATAAATTCATTCAACAAATTACTAAACAATGGAGTTACTTTGAGCTATATAAATAGTATAAGCAAATTCTTACAAAACAGTGTTAAGAATAAAGAGCACATTGCAGAGAAATACACACACACACACACACACACACACAGGCACATGCATATATGTATAATAGTATGCTGTACAAAGTACTGTAACAAGCAAATTAAATATTTACACACATTATGCATATACATATATAATTTGAGAATACATATATGTTTTATAAGACAAATAAGTGCCTAGAAATTATAACTAATTCACAGTAGCAAATATTTCTAAGATGAGGTAGAGAAATTTAATTAGTTGTATCAGTTATCTTTCTGTTACTGTGATGAAAAACCACAAACAAAAGCAAATCAAGGAAGAATGGTTTATTTTGGCTTATGTTCTAAAGGGATTGAGTCCATAAAGACTAGGAAGTCATGGTGACCAGAGGGCATGTTGGCCGGAGTAGGAAGCTGGCTGATCACATTTTTATCCAGTGTACATCAGTGTTTACAGTTACATTATGTTAATGTAGATATTATAAATACTTATAATGACATATAAAATATGTCAATTTTTATAGTTTTTTGGGGGGGTTGGTTTTGAGACAGGGTTTCACTTCGTAACAGCCTTTCCGGTCCTGGAACTAGGTCTGTTACCTCTGCCTCATGAGTGCTGGTATTAAAGGCATGAGCCCACCACTGCTGAGTTGTTTTTTTCTTTTGAGCAACTGTTGGGGTGTGTATATGTGTTGAAATTTCTCCCTATATATTTAGTCATTACAGCACATCAAAAAAGTCCATTAAAGTAACTCATTCCCTTTGTTTTCTTTGCCTCCCTGGTGCTGGAGTAGCAAAACCAGGGTCTTTCATATAGAAGACAAGATTTCTAACACTGAGCTATACATCTTAAGCCCTTATACTTCTTTTTCTTTTTCTGATCAGTTAAATCCCCAATGCTAAAAACAAAGCTTAAGACAGAGGAAGGAAGAGAGAGAGGTTTCTGTCTCAACAGTGGAGTGGTGGTGGTGGTGGGTGGGTGGGTGGTGATGGAGAAACTAAAGAGGGTAGTAATGTGGCGAAAGCTTTGGAGATGCTTGAAGTGATGCTGACCTATGGCACTTTCCCTACATTCAGTGTCTGAGTTTGCATGATGGTGGTATGTTGCACGATGGTTGTAGACATCATGGGTGTTTGACATAAAGGTTGCTGTAGGCATCATGGGTGTGTGACATAAAGGTTGCAGATGACATGCATAGGTTAGCTACCTGGAGGAGGAAGACTCACCAAGAAGTAAGCACAGAGATTCACATAGACTTTGGGAAGGACTTAGGTTCTCACAAGCCATGGAATTTGGGCTCCAATAAAAGTTTAACAAAGAGCTATGATGACCTTATAATAATTTCCTAACCTTATTGTCTTCTTCCCTTCCTGTATTTCCCCATCCCTTCCATCTATACCTCCCTGTCTTCCTTCTACCTCATCTAGCTAGGAAGAGAGAAACGGTCAAGTGGAATAAATTCCTCAAACTTATGCTTCTGACCCACAGGCACTTCCTCTGTGCTGAATTATTTCCTCTGTCCATCAGCAATGGCTTGTGGGAATAGAGCCTTTCTCACTTTCAAGAATTGACTCTTAAAGATATGCTTTGGCAAGTACACAAAGGTAGACATAGCAAGGTGTTATTCTATCTTCTGGGAAAGCAAATGACCAGAACCCACCTGTAGAAGCTGCCAACTAGATGAATTTGTGGATCACCCAGGCAATAGGTACTTTGTAGGAGATTAAAAAGAATGTGGTACTCTAAGAACTGATATGGATGAGTGCTTAGAATAAGTAAAAAGGAGGGGGAAAGAAGCAAAGTAAAGATCACTAATCTGAGGGTCTATTCTTTGGTAACCTGGCTTGCCTTTATAATTTAGACCTGGGGCTTGGGGGACAGAAGAAAGAGAGATAGATTTTACCAGTGTGTCCATTGCCTTTTTGGAGCATCTGTCTCATGGGCACATTACCATCCAACAAAACCCAAAGCAGCAAAACAAATAAATAGAAAGAATGATAAAAAGATTAAAAGTGAGCCAGATGTGATAGTTCACACCTGGGAAGTGAAACAGGAGGATCAGGAGTTCAAAGCCATCCTCTGTCATTTTAGGGAGTTTGAGTCTGGATTGAGTTGCATAAGAACAAGTTTTAAATCCCCAAAATAATTCAGATCAGTGGTGGTGCACACCTTTAATCCCAGCACTTGGGAGGCAGAGGCAGGCTGAGCTATGAGCTCAAGGTCAGCCTGGTCTACAAATCAAGTTCCAGGACAGCCAGGGCTATTTATTACACAGAGAAACCCAATCTGGAAAAACCAAATACAACAACAAGAACCTGAAGTGAAAACATAAAAATGTTAAAAATTATAGAAACAGGAGAGACAATTTTCACACATTTCATTTCCATGACAGGGTTGCTATTTGATGTGGGTTTTCTTGTTCGCTTGTTTGTTTTGTTTTTGTTTTTGAAGACTACTTGATATCTTGATATGCTTTAGTGAAGTCTTACCACTGCTTCTTTGAAGGCTTAAGGCTTCAAATAATTTCAGGGCAGTCTAGTGGCCAAATGAGAAACTGGTGACCAGAGGGAGGCACTAGACTCCAGGGAAGGATTCCCTTACCAAGACAGCCCTTCAGTCCCTTCCCAGAGGAAAGGTCAGGCTCTTGACCACAGCTGTACCAATTAATCTTTATCCATGGTGTCCCTGAAAAGATTTAAAAGCCAACAAATTAATAGACTCAGATTAATAACTTCAATTTTTTTAAAAAAGAAAATGAAGCAATTATCTAGTATTTTTTGATTCCTGTTTGGGCTTTTTACTATTTTTTACCTTATATACTCTGGAGGCATCTGAGTCCATATACAGAATCTGAGAATCGTCAAAGGATTCTTGTTATAAATTCCTCCAATGCCTTTGCTTTAATATGGGTCCTACCAACTCCCTGTTATTTTATCTGGATGGTGTATTTTTCTCCAATACTTTCAACTTTTAGGTTTTTATAGACAATAAATGGTACAGTTGTTATTACATAATTAGTAGCAGTTGCTATTATATAATCCACTCTGACAAATCTGACTGTAAACTTTTAGTCCATTTTTGTTTAATGTAATCATTTGTCCTTTTAGTGCATGGTCTTGATTTGCTCAGTTGCTTCATGCTTTGATTTTTCTCTATCTTATTTCTTGTACTCCTGGGATTAACTATGATCTGGTCATAGTCTCACTTTTTATACACATTGCAGAATTTGCTTAAATTATAGCATTTGTTAAAGAACATAGTGTCTATGTACAAAGGAATATTATTTTTTAATTTCTTTCTTTCTTTTCTTAATGTACCCTTCGTTCTGCTTTTAATGTCTTTCCTTCTTCTCTATAATTTTTGATTTTCAAGACAAGGTCACAGTGTAGCCCAGATTGGCCTACAAAACTCACAGAGGCCCTTTTCTCAGCATCTAAGTGCTGGTCTGCAAGGTTATGACGTCGTGCTTGACTTCTTTTTCTTTCAAATACCTTTCTTGAAAAATGTTTCCTTTTCCTCCAGTTTGTACATAGGTCATGTGAAAGCAGCCATTCCTTCCTGTAATATTGGATGTCAGTGAGACTACTCAGGCCTTTTCCCGATAATTAATAAGTTCCCAATTGATGGAAGACTGTTCAAGTATTCAGATAGTATTATAACACTACAGTCATGAATGCTGCTTGCTGGTATTATTTCATAATAGTTTTTAAGGCAATCTACTTCACACTGTGCCGTTTGGGGGAAGCTTTTTGTTTTTTCTGACTGATTGGTCCATTTCAATCAAACTGTTGAATTTTTTGATAAGGACTGTTTATATTATGCCCTCGCCTAAATATTTGTAGACTCTACATAAACACTTGAGCATTTCCAAGACTCATCTCTTTCCTCACTGAGCGGTTTGGCTAAGGCTATATCATTTTATTTGTTTTTTTAAAGACACAAAATGTACATTTATTAATTTTCTCACCATTATTTATTTATTTTTTTTGTTAATGTTGTTTGGTTTCCTTTTTTTGAAGACAGGGTTTCTCTGTGTAGCCCTGGCTGTCCTGAAACTCACTCTGTAGACCAGGCTGGCCTGGAACTCAGAGATCTGCCTGCCTCTGCTTCCCAAGTGCTAGGCTTAAAGGTGTGCGCCACCACAGCTGTCTCACTGTTAGTTTCTATTTTCTTGATTTGGGCTTGTGGTGGCTAGAGTGTGTGTGTGTGTGTGTGTGTGTGTGTGTGTGTGTGTGTGTGTGGGCACAAAACTTAACTACTGCATTTCCCAATGCCTCTTATTATAGGGACATCTACGTGTAACACTCCATCCGAAGAATGTGTGTGAGATGTACGTGTGCTGCCTTCAGGCTATGAAGCGCTGTCCATCATCTCTGCCTTTGCTCAGCTCCAGGCTGGAGGCTGACAGTGAGTGAAGACTCTGGAACTCATGGATAGTGGAGCAGCAGCTGTGTGCGGCTCAGATTCCTGAGAAACTGCAAGAACAATGCTGACTCTCTCCTGTCCCAACACAGAGCCATGATGCAGCTCTGATAGGAACATGAACTAAACCTTTATTACATATTAAGCTATTACATAAATGCGAGCTACATCTTTATTGTACATTAAACTATGCTGTGAAAAGGAACTAAGCCTTTATTGTGTACTAAACTATGATGTGAATATGAAATAAACCTTTACTGTGTTATGCCGGTGAGACTTTTCAAGTTGTTTGCTTTACAGCAGCTAATACAACTGGCCTCCAGTGGGCTGATGGGAGCCTAGCATAGCAACCAGCTCATGGGATAATCAAGTCCTAGACTTGGAAAGAGACCCTGAGAAGAGATGAGGAAACATGAGACATATTCCGAATTAGCAACCAGCAAGACACGTGTATGGTTGGACATGAGAAGTAAGGCCTGCAAAGAGGTCTAATACACAAGATTATTGGAGGAGTGTGTAGAGAAAAAGATACAGAAGAACACTGAAAATCTGATGTGATGCTTGTCACCTTTGTTAGGAAGAGCAATGCCAACACTGTGTAGGCAGAAGTACTCCACTGCACTTCATCACTGGATGGTCAAGGGCAACACCCATTGCCCTGCTCTGTTCCTTCTTCTGCCTCCCTGGGGAGTTGATAGGCTACTTGGAAGCTTCCCCCTGAGGACAGCCCACTTTTGCTTTATTTCTACTGTTAGGGAGAACAGATACATGTTTCTTAATTTACATAGTGGAATCTCTTATCTTTGAACACTTTCCCAACAAATTTTAATGCATTTTCTATCTCCGGAACATTGAGGAACACATCTATGTGTGTGAGAATAAAAACTCATGATCTGGAAGCTATATACTTTGTCTGTTCTTCCTAACTCTGTCATACTTGTCACCTCCAGTCAGTCCCTTCACTAGGGCTCAAGGAACTGCTTTATTCCTTTGTCCTTGCCAAAGCCTAGCATCAGAAAAAAAATCTGCAATTCATTTATCTGAAGATATAAATGATTATATATGGCTCTTATGTATGTTCAAAGGTGGCTTTTCCTACGAAAATTGTCAAATTAATAAGAATTACAGCTATATGATTCAAAGGACAGAGATCTTAAGTACATCAGGGAACAGAATGGGTAATAGGAATACCAAATAAAGTCTGAGGGTTTGTTACTTGAGAACAAAAAATTAGAAGTGCCACTAGCTGATCCTAACCAAGGCAAAAAGACAAGCCTACTAATTAGGAATGGAAACAGGAAAGTGACTTAAATATATAGTGAAGTCCAATAACTGGGGGATTATTTTAGTTAGCTCTGAATCACAATAACTGTGAGGGATTATTTTAGTTAACTCTGAAAAATAATTTGAAAACCATTGTGATAATGCATGTTTTACAAGAAACTATAATAACCAAAGTATCTCAGAAGAAATAGAAAATGTCAATAAAAATAGAACAAATCCATGGCATGGTGGCTCTTGCTTGTGGTCTCAGCACATAGTAACATAATGCAGGAAGATTCTATGTTAGCCTGACTTACATAGTGAGTGCCAGGGTAGCCAGAACCACATAGTGAAAACCTATCTCTAGTAAAATATAGCAGCAATAATAAATAGTGAAAATTCACAAAAAACTCTTTTATTCCCCTCCTCCCTAAAACTGTAGAAAAGTCAGGTACTTTACAAGTATACATTCTGAGACATTAATGAATGGGGAATATCAGTGCCCATTAAACTGAGATCATAAGTAGGGTCATTTCAAAAATCTTTTCAAATAACTAGACTATCAAGACAGTCATTGCAAAAACCTGACAGAGTTACCATAAAACCAGAAATCAAATAAACTTTATTACCATAATTGGTCTGTAAAAGTCTAAAAGCCAGCAAGTAAGATTGATTGTATTTTAAATAATAATTGATTTCTATTAAGATGGGATCATAATAGAGGCACAAGAATGTTTCATTTAAAATCCCAGCAATACATATGACTATATTAGCAAGTAGAAGGGTAAAAACAGTATACTCATGTTCACAGATGCTGAAAAGATAGTTGACAAAATATCAAACATTCTCATGTGATAACAGTTGCTAATAAAATCTGATGTGCATTTTTAAATATACTTAATCTGAAATAATTCAGTCACTCATTATCTTGATTGTACCTAAACTAACTGCCAATTGTTCTCATTATCTCAATAGTAAACCACATGAATTTTTTTGTATGTGTGTGTGTGCATGTATATAAATGTGTTACGGAAGTGTGCTTACACGAATGTGTGTGGAGGCCAGAGGTTGACATCAGATGCCTTTCTCACTTATTCTTCAGCTTATATATTGAAGTGGAGTCTCTCACTTGAAACTAGAGCTTCATAATTAGTTAATGGAGCTTATCAGGCTTGCCCTAGGAATCCCTTGTCTACATTCCCAAGTGCTGCATGACAGGTGGGCCATCAGGCCCATGTGGAATTTATGTGGCTTCTAGGGCTCTAAACTCTTGTCCTCATTTTCACAGAATGACCTCTGTAGCCCGAACTGACCTTTTTAACGGAAGAAAGGCACAGCTAGCCATCATATGAAAAATAAACACGTGAGGAGAGCGAGGGAAATTCTGTGAAAACTGTTCAGTCATAAAGAAAGATCACCAATTATGGTATCTAAAGCTGGGCTGTAGCACACATGCACACGGACAAAGGAAGTAGGAGACCAAGTTATAAAGTGAACCTCCAAGGAAAATTAACAAATGAAGTTTTCTGCCATTAGAAAGAAATGTTACGCTTCATAAAGAATTAGGGGATAATTAAGCTCTGTAAAACACAAGTTGAAATTTTACTTGGTCTATATCAGAATAAATTCCAAATGGATGAAATATCCAAAATTAAAATAAAACTATGACATAATTAGGAGAAAATAAGAAGCTTTTTTTTTTTGTTAACATAGATGAGGAAGCTTTTCCAAATTTAAAATCTGCATGTGAAAAGTTTTTTTGGCTAAAGTCAATATATATATATATATATATATATATATGTATATATATATGCATATGTGTATGTATATGTAGAAAATTGTATTATGAATATTGATAGCTTTGTATATAAAAAGTTACTATGAATAATTTTAAAAGGTTACTAATGCCCTGGGAAACGTTTATAAAATAGTCCTGTGATGAGAACAGAAACAGGAATGTCAAACATTGAAAACATGCTCAATGTCTAAGAAAGCTGGCAGTTGGAGTGGAAATTAGATATATCCCACCACTTTTCATTATGATTCTATCAAAGATCAACAGATCTGACAGCACTTTGCTTTGGCAAGGATGTGAAAAACTGGCATCCTTAAGCCTTTAGTGTATACTATATGGAGAGTAACTGGCTTCCATTAAAAATGGTTTAAAATGCACATGCTCTTTGGAAAAGTCTTCTTCCTTTCTGATGATTAAATTTAAAACATGCATTTGCATATATGGGCAAAGAAATGTGCAGTGGTGTCTGTGGTAGTATTCTTCCTACTGTAAAGGAAAAGAAAGGTGTGACAAAGGTGGCCTGTTAAAGAACTTGGGCCAGTCAACAAATAGATATATGAATGAAATGAGACAAGTCTGTGCTCTGCTGTGAAGGTGTCTCCAAAACACATCACTTCCACAAAATTTTCTGTGTAGGTGTTGACATTTGTATGTACTGGCATATTAATGGTTGATCTCTGGAAGTCCACAAAAGACACTGGTCACCAGTCAAAGTCTTCCGGTTGTTAAGGGTTGAGATTCAAAGGATGATATGTTATTAGGTGTCTCCTGAATTTTGTACTAGGTATATGTATTGCACACTCAAAGGTTAAGCAATTAGCTGGCTTTATCAATGGAGCTTTTACGAACATTCAAGAACAGATCAGATTCATACAGAACGGAAGCTTGTATCTGTTCTTCTTACAATCCCACTTGACATTTACCTTCCCATTATCCTCAGGATTTAGTATCAGGAAAAAGACTAGTACTGCTAGTGCAAATACAGATGGGGCATAAACACCCACCAGGAAGAGGTGTGGGTGCTCCACGGGGTCCCCATTACCTTTGCCGTCTCAGGTAGCATTCCTATTGTTTAATAAAACATGTAGCAGGCTTTTACTATATAAAAGTTGGCACTGAAATTTCTTCACTTGTAAACTATCCTAGGCTATCATGTTTTGTTTTTGTGTGGATACATGGTCTGAGCACATAGCCCAGGTTGGCCTTGAACTCCCCCTTTTCCTGTCTACCTTCACTGGTACTGGGATTGCAGGCATGTGCTGCCGTGGGCCACTTATGCTACTGGTTTTGGAAGCACAGCTTGAATGTTTTTCAGGCCACAGTGAAATAGATCAGCAGTTTCTTCCGAAGGAAAGGAAGATGGTGAGGCCATAAAGATCATGTCAAATAAGAGATAAAAGAAATTGGTTTAGTCTTCACAGCACAGAGGCGGTAATGAGGAGCAGTGAGTATGGTTACAGGAAGAGAAACCTGACTTATTTTAAAGAAGATATTTCCAGTGATGAGAAGAGTTGAAAGTGCCTATCCCTTTTTCTTAGGATTTGAATGTCCATTCTTTGAGCTAGAGAAGTTTTTCGCACCACATTCTGAGTATTTTCAGCTTAACAGCAAAACTTAATCTTTGAAAAATGCCTTAAAAACAAAATCCACACAACAGCCTTTTACACTCTCTTCCTTTGGGAGATTAAGAGAAGAACATGTGGTAAGATAAATAAATAAACAAATAAATAAATAAATCTAGTAAAAGTCCACTTCCTGCCCCAAATTTCCTATCTTATTAGCAAATATTCCAGGTCAAGATGTCCAGAATCCAACAGCTTATCCATGTTTATTTTTTGTAATTTTAATTGATTTTTTTAATCAAAGAGATACCTGGATAGTGTTGTTATTGACATACTATATGTTCAGCAATCTGGTCAGCTCTATTCGCCATTTTTTTCTTTTCTTTTTCTTTTTTTTTTCTTTTGGTATTCTGACCAAACTTGTGAGTTAATGGGCATAGAAACAGAGGCTTAATTGTCTGAAACCTCATGTCAATGAAAGGAGTTTCATTCATTCACATTTGGAATTTATTTAACACATAACCTTCTCCACCACTGCAATACTACATTCAAAGCAGACGAATGTGCTGAGATCAACATCTATAATTTAGTCTTGCCTCAGGAGCATACTCTTTTTCCATTTACAAGAAAATTCAGACAGAGAATATCATCATG